ACGATTAAAAAATACATAATATACAGACTAATTATGGCCAATCTGATGTCAATACGCATTAAATTAAATCCAAGAGAATAGATCTAACATGGACAATCGACGGACGAGGGATCCCAGATCTCAATAAAACTTATTTTCTTTATGATACTAGGCCGAAAAAGATTAGGCTCGTGCCGGAGCGTTTTTGCTAAAGCTTTGCTTAGAGTAGAGAGAAAAATATTGTATTCCATGTATTTCAAGATTATTAAAATCAGGGGATTTTTTAAATCTGGGATATTCAAATAATAAGCAGGATCGTATTAAATGAGATTAAATATATCAAAAGTTTTAAAAACCGTAAAAGACGTTACCAATAAAGTAGGTCAAAGTAATTTTTTAATGAAAAAATCGGCTTTATATTAAGCGCCATTTAAAGTACAATTTTTTATATCAAACAAAAAATAGACATTTTTGTTTGTATTCGCTTGGGTCAATTTTTTCTCGCCGATCTGGTGTTCCATTTAATAACAATTACTTTTAAACTAATTAACTTACTAATTAAGAAACAATAACTACTTTCAGCCTAAATAAATAAATTTTGGTTTTTGATTGGTCGTAAGTGGGAAAATACAGTTGTAATCAACAAAACTCAACATCTTAACCCAAATAACTTATAACGTGTGTGAGGTGTTTAGTGACCAACTTACAACTTTTTAACTTAGCCTTTTTTAACCGTAATTATAAGGAGACAACGCTGAAAAAATTATTAATAACGGACAAACAATCATCATTTACCACGTTAATAATAATTAATTAATCTTTTTATGTAAGGTATTGGTTGAAATAATAAAGTTAGCGTCACGAGCGGGATTCGAACACACGACCTTCGGCTAAATAAGCATTGCTCTAACCACTTGAGCTGTAGTGACTTCGATCCACTCGGACACCAACCTCCCATCCGAACCTACCTTTCGAATTTTCCCTCCTTTTTGCCATTTTTCAATGAGGGTTCGAATCCCGCCCGTGACACTAACTTTTTCATTTCAACTAATACCTTACAAAAAGATTAATTAATTGAAAGAAGTTATTTGGTCAATCAGACCACGAAATATAATGAAGTTAATATTAATATTTTTTAATGGCGAAGAAACATGATTGAAAAATATAATATATTTAAGCAACTTCCTTTAAATTTGTGTGGACGATTTTTAACCCTGCACCGTATTCAACGCTTTAAAAAAAAATATAAAAACTTTGCAAAAAATCTATACTCACCACGTTAATACACCCGAAATAGTTCAAAAATGGCAAAGAAAAGACTAGATTTTCATAAAAAAATTATGTATTTGAGCTAGTTTATTTTTTTATGTCACCTTTTAACCCTGATTTTAACTATGCAACACTAAACAAATAATTACAAACAACTGGCAAGGAAGTGTACATTCACCACATTAATACAGCGAAAATAGTTCAAAAAAATTGTGGCGAAAAAACAAGATTGTTAAAAAAAAATCATTTTTAATCATCTTTGTTTTGCATTTCAACGTTTTTTACGTATAATTTTTTAAGTATAATAAAGATAATGCATAGAACACACGTATTATTGCCAACTAACAAAAAAAAAACGCTACATTCACTACGTTAATTCGGCTGAGATAGGTAAAAATGATATTAAAAAAACTAAATTTTAAACAAAAAATAGTTTATGTAAACAACATTTTTTCCTTGTTAACATTCATTTGTCGTTGATTATACAATGCTACAAACAGTTCAAAAAATGAAAAAAGTAAGTCAAAATTTTTAACAATAAAAAATTTAATCTATTTTTAACTAGTCTTTTTCATTCATTTTAAATTTTGCATTTCAATACATTATTAACACCAATTATAACTAACAGACCAAACCAGACAGATTAAAACAGACCAAGGTTTTTTCCCAAATAATGGGCAAAATTGATACCAACTGACAATACAGCCAAAGTTCATGGAAAAGAAAAGGAAAGATTTTTAACACAAAAAATTGACAAAAAGTATTCATTCACTACTTTAATCGAAACAAAATAATTTCAAAATTTGAGAAGTAAACAGTCTACATTTTTAACAAAAATTCTATACTTTAAAAACTTCATTTTTTTTGCAAAACAGAAAAAATCTAGAGTTATAACTAATGTTGTCTATACTATTTTAGAGAAAATTACTATTTATTATTTTACTTCCTTTTCATCGATTATAACTGTAAAATGCCTTAAACAAACAAATTTTTTATAAGAACCTGCCAAAAAGCACGTATATTTAATACAATTAATGATCATTATACACTCTTTTATTTTTTTATTGCTTCCCTAAGTCTAGTAATAAATACAGACACAAGTGGGTTTGTAATATTTTACCCGGTTTTTAACCAATAGTCCATTACGCTTTCTGAAAGCTGAAGTTTGTTTTTTTATCGGACTGGTTTTCAACTTTCTATTCATTGCCACAGAACGAGAGTGATTGATTGGCACGTTTATGCAGTATTAAATTTTCCTTTGTCCTTACATTTATACATATTTTTTAACAGGTTGTCGCATATATAAAACCCTTATTATTGCATTAAGTGATAAACTTGCAATTTTGTATTTGATAATCGTTGAAATTTTATTCCAGTTGACAGTATACGAAAACTTATATCAAACTCTCTCATCTTTCTTATTTTATTATATAAATAGTTTTTGACTTGTTTTAGTCGTTTTTAGTTGCAAAATTTGAAAACACGTGTAAGAAACAATGTGTGGTGTACATTACAATAAACATTAAATTAATTTATCCTAGTAACTGAAATGTTAAGATTCTATTTATTTGAACTTTAACTTTACTTTGAACTTTGTAATGATGCATATCTCGTGGTCTGTAAAATCGTAATTTGAAATGCCTAAATACGTATTCTCTCTCTCGTAAATTGAAATTTTGAGACGGTGTATAATATGTTGTGGGTAAATTTTATCATTACGCTTTCATCTATGAGCTTACGGCTGGAATGTGAAAATGGCGCAAAAGCGATCCAAAGGAGCAAATAGATCAAACAACCTACAAACGAGGCTAAACCAGGTTTGGTGTACAAAAAAATATACATAGCTATGTAAAATAAGTTAATGTAAAAAGTCTGTTGAACCGAGGGTACACAGCAGGACGACTGGGCGAATAGTCCAACAAAAGAAAAACAAAATTTTAAACAAAAAAATATATATTTAATTAACTTCTTTTTTATGCCAATTTTTTTACCCTGCGCACTACGTACGCGTTTTAAAAAATTATAAAAATCTGACAAAAAAATTTATATTCTCCATTAATACGGCCAAAACAGTTTAAAATAATGGCAAAGAAACAACTAGTTTTAACAAAAAATTAACTGTTTAAAGAAGTTTATTTCTTTGCATTGTGCCAACAATTTTTTTACTCTAATTTTAACTATGCAACACTAAACAAATGATTTTTAACAGCTGGCAAAAAAATCTATATTCACCACATTAAAACAGCTAAAATAGTTCAAAAATTGCAAAGAAAAAACGGCTCGATTTTTAATAAAAGCATTATAAATTGAAGGAAGTTAATTTTTTGTATATCAACAATTTTTTAACTCTGATTATAACTACGAAACGCTAAACAAATAAATGTAAACAGCTGGCAAAAAATCTGTGTTCACCACATTAATACAGCCAATATAGTTTAAAAAAAATGGCAAAGAAACGACCGTAGTTTTAACAAAAAATTAACTGTTTAAAAAAGTTTATTTCTTTTCATAGGCCAAAACTTTTTTAACCCTAATTATAACTATGCAACTCTAAATAAATAATCATAAACAACTAGAAAAAATCTATATTCACCACATTAAAACAGCTAAAACAATTCAAAAAATGGCAAAGAAACGGATAGATTTTTATTAAAAGCATTATAAATTGAAGGAAGTTAATTTTTTTTGTATATCAACAATTTTTTAACTCTGATTATAACTACGAAACGCTAAACAAATAAATGTAAACAGCTGGCAAAAAATCTATGTTCACCACATTAATACAGCCAATATAGTTCAAAAAGTGGCAAAGAAACGGCTAGATTTTTATTAAAAGCATTATAAATTGAAGGAAGTTAATTTTTTTTGTATATCAACAATTTTTTAACTCTGATTATTAATACGAAACGCTAAACAAATAAATGTAAACAGCTGGCAAAAAATTTATGTTCATCACATTAATACAGCCAATATAGTTCAAAAAAATGGCAAAGAAACGACTTGATTTTTAACAAAAAGTTAACTAAGCAAGTTTATTTCTTTGCATGTCAACACTTTTTTAACCCTAATTACAACTATGCAATACTAAACAAATAATTCACTACATTAACACAGTCAAAATACTTCATTAAATTGTAAAGAAAGGACTAGATTTTCAACAACAAAAACTATGAGTTTAACCAAGTCAGTTTTTTTGTATGTCAATACTAATTATAACTCTCAATTAATTAATCTTTTTATGCAAGGTTTTGGTCGAAATGAAAAAGGTTCCAGCGGATTCGAACCCGAGCCGAAGGTCGTGATTGAAAGAAGTTATTTGGTCAATAGACCGCTAAATATAATGGACTGATTATAACTGCTACACTAAACAAATAATTATAAACAACTGGCAAAAAATCTATGTTCACCACATTAATACAGCCAAAATATTTAAAAAAATGACGAAAAATCTAGCTGAAATACATTATTTCTCTATCTCTCGTAAATTGAAACTTTAATACAGTGTATACTTTTTTCTGGGTAACGCTTTCATCCATGAGCTTTCGCCTGAAATATGAAAATGACGCGAAAGAAGTCCAAAGGAGCAAACAGACCCAAAAACCCTATAAACGAGGCTAAACCAGCTTTGGTGTAGAAAGAAATGAAAGGTCTTTTGATCCGAGGGTGCACTGCAGGAAGACTGGGCGAATTACATAAGTCTCGCTTCTGCCCCTACTTCGCCATCCTCTAAGCTACCCCGGGGGTGGGGAGTCGCCGCCAACGCCAGTCGTCCTCAGACCTTCGCAGGGTACCTTTCGACGATCCTCGGCCGGAAATACATGTGATTTCTACCCGTTGTGTTTTGCCGCAGTTCGGCCCAGTGTTTTGTGAGATCTGTGATCGAGTTTCGAAAGGCGTGAATCAAAGGGGCTCGACGACCCGAAGACCGATTCGCATTTCATCTCGTTTTCCTCCTAAGAAACGTGCAAATTCGGCTCTTTTACCCGTGAAGAAAATAACTTTTTCGGAGTTCTGTTTAATTACTTTTGTTGTTAAAACTCCCAGTACCGATTTCCATTTTTTTCGATTCGGACCTTTTGGAAGGAATTTACAAGTGGACAGCCGTTGCTAAGCGACAGACGGCCAACAAAATTTTCAGGTTGGGAAATTTTTTATGAGCTCCTTTCTTGCTCCGACATAATTTTCATTATTTAATCTGTTGACGTAAACCGGCGTAAATGAAATCGGATCAAATTTTAACTCGACCGCTAAGATTTCTCGTCCGGTTCATTTCCCCAGCGATATTATAAATTTTGCATTTAAAAATATAAATTAATAATAAAACAGCTTTACTCGAAACGTTATTCTACGATTAAAGTCCCTCGACACCCTTCAAAAAGTAAGTTTCAGCGACGGTTTGAACAGTACCGAACTTTTTCCGACGAGCACGTGGTTCATTCTTCCACACCGTACGCGCATCAAATTAAACTAATGGCAAAAGAAGGGAAAAAACACTCGGAAAATTGTTTTTCAACCGGTTTTCCTAACGACTTTCCTGAAATTACAATTTTCCGAAACAGTCTTGTGACCTACCTTTTACTTTAAAAACTTAATAACAACCCATTAGCAATATGGAATTTTTAGGAGATAACAGGATAACTCAAAAACAACAAACTTCTGAATATGACATAATAATAAATAAATATCGTTTATATTCTGTAAATAAATTATTGCGAAATAGGTTCGTCATTTGCTTAAATGAAAGATTTCCTGTGGCCTTAGTTACCTACATACCGTACAGCAACGGTAAGCTGACTGAAATGATCAAAAACGACAATTGTTACCTTCAAGTTAGAGTTTTTAAGGATCAATTTTAAACAACTTCAATTTTATCCAAGGAGAGGAAAATTTACATATCAGGTTGGATAACGGACTAGATCCAAAACAGCTGCATTGTTCTTTCGTCGTTTCTGATCTTGGTTTTATTTTATCCGTGCTGTTGACGTCCAAGCTAAATTAAATCACCTAGACGTAAACAATAATTCTGGCTACATTGATACTTTGATAAACCAAGGAAGTAACATAAAAACTCTATTTATCCAGAAGATTTTTATCTGAAGTTTAATAAAATATATTTCGTTTTGTCGTGCTTTTGTCTTCAGGTATACGCGAACCTATAGAGCAAAGATTTTTAAAACCCTTTGGTAAATTCTTATAAACCTTTTACCACTTCAAACCGTACCTCACGGGCAGGTCGGAGTTGAAGGCAGGGTCTAGAAACGTTTTTACGTGCCCTCTCTACCTGGTTCTGTTTTGTACTGAAATATTCTTTTCGTTCCAGGTCCCAAGGATTTACAAAGGAGTGAAACTGTCCGCCACACTGTATACCCAAACGGCTCTTAGGTTGCCCACCACGTAAGTATTTTTTTTTTTTTTTTTTTTTTTGACAATTTAGTCTTCAGCGCTGTTTAAAGACATTAGAGAATTTTTGTATTTAAGAATGATGCTTGAGCAGAAAGCCTCAGCCTTCGCTCTGGCGAACCCTGGGTTAAAGCACAACGGCCTTCTCGACTGGATATGGATTTTCTAAACGAGGACGATATTTATTATGAATTTTTTCCGAACCGAGTATTTTTTTATAATTAATTGATATTGGGGCAAATGAGCAGCTAGGAGACTCATTAATTTGTGACCCTCTCCGGGATGTTCGGGTGTCTTCACACCGGAGCTACTCGGGACAGCTGCTTTGGTCGGATGCAGCTTTGCTCTCGGTCTGTTGAGCCTAAAATAAATTTATATTGGAGTTTCTGTTGCTTAATATTTACCCCGAGAAGATTATTATATTAGACAAATTAACAATTATTTTAACTAAAACTACGACCAGTTTATAGTTGAACGCTCTTCATTCCATTCTAGAGTTACCTATTGTGAAGCATGATTTGTGCTAGAACGTGCTCGCACGACACGAAAACATAATAGAGGCATCTCTGATGTAATCAATCACTGGTGCCATTGTTTGTGTAGTTCCGGTTGAGTGTATTCAAAAATGTTATTCTGTACGACTTGCAGTTTAGCTGATGATCGTCCTGCATGTTGTTCAATAGAACTTGTTACAAATGCACATGCTAACCTTTAAGTTAACCCCCTTTGTTTTAAGGAAATAGGCAGAGGTTTGTTGGAAAATTCGAATGATGATAAGAGGTTCGAGAAATGTTTTTTTCTCGATGCGGACCGTCTGCCAATGGGTCGACGAGTGAAACTATTCTGCATCGAGATAAGAGCCGGCCGGCCTTTAGTCTGTGGATGGGGGACTTTCCCTTCTGCATGACATCATTTGGGGCTTGCTCTTGAACTTGATTCGGTTTTCCTTTCGTTCGATACCGCCGTGCTTCGCCGGGGTATAGCCGACGCGCCGCACTTCACGTGACCGAGAGCCGGATTTGGGCTTAAAAATTAACGGCACGGCACGAACGAGTTGTAAATAACGGCTCCCCCTTTTTCATGTGATTTATCTCGTCCTGGGCCGCGGCGATTTGTAATTCCTAGGAGATTCACATCTCCAGGCCTGTTCGTAACGGCCCGGTACGGCAGCTGTCGTACCCGGGATAAATATCACAATTTAAAAATGCCATGTGGGAATTATCTCCTATGCAAATGCGGATAATTCCAGACTAGGAATTCATTTCGACCCGTTAATGTTCAATGTTGAATGCAAACACGACTCTACACCTGCTGTGATTCATGCTTTAACTGAAGCAACTTAATATATATTCTTTCAGTTAATTAATCTTTGTGTAAGGTGTTAGTTAAGATAAAAAGCCAGTGTCAAGAGCGGGATTCGAACCCCACGACCTTCGGCTAAATACGCCGCTGCTCTACCACTTGAGCTATCGTGACCTCGATCCACTCGGACATCAACTTCCTATCTCAACCACACCTTTTGAGTTTTCCCTCCTTTTTGCCATTTTTTATCTCATACCTTTCATAAAAATTAATTAATTGAAAGAAGTTATTTGGCCAATCGGACCACGAAATCTAATGGATTTAACATATATTACAAAAATAACATATAAATGTTGTTTAAAAATCTTTGAAATAACACAAAAATCTCAAAAAAATCCTCTTGACTTGTCCATTACTTATGCAAGATAAACCTAAAAAAATTCACAGGTTTTTTTAAAGATATTTTTTTCCAACTAAAGAAATATAATGAGTAAAAATGCAACTCACCCCTAAAATATAATTAGCTTAAAATTAAGGCCATTTACCAGCCAATTGAACATATCCGGGCCATAAACCGAACCCATTGTTTGAAGGTGACAATTTTCGTACTTTTTTTGTACTAAATGGGGGGAAACAAAAACTCATCACTGTTGATACACGAGTTAATAATGTTTCATCTATCCGACTGTAATTTGTAAAATTTTAATTTTAAGGTTTTTTTCAACACATTGTAATACTTTTAATAATCTCTCTTTGATCATTACACATTGTTCAAAGTTCACCTTTTAATGTAACTGGAAATTACTTTACAAGGTACGCTTGTTTCAAAACGCCCATTTTCCTGCTCGCTCTTTTTGAGCGAAAAAATTTAAATTAAGATAGTAAAATAATGGATGCATGTTATATTGACCATGCCAATACTGCCGCGTCGTTAATGTACAAAAGAAAGCCAGAAAAGTACGGAACATTTTGTCGTATGCTCTGATTTTATAAGAGGGGAAGAACGATAAGAATTGTCTAGATTTCAAATCTGTTGTTCATCAATCAGAACGATAGCAACCGGAGAAAGGTTTTTAACCATCGAAACGCCCGGTACCCACAAAGCGGCCAGTGAAAGCGTATTTTCCTTCTTCTTTTTTTCTTTTTATTGGCAGCCGCTAGGCCAAAGAAAGTGGGTCGATCACGATCTGCAAACTCCACGTCTGTTGGTTTACTCTTGATACGATTCGCCGGGAAATGGGATCGTTAAGTTGACGTGATGACAATTACGACGAAATTGCCGTTAGCCAAATAGCTTAGCATCATAAACGGCCCGAATTCTATTGTTCCTCCTTTAATGCGATTGTCTTCAAAACTCCACAACCTTGACTTTGGAGAAGTGTGATTTTGTTTGGGCTGTGGATTAATGGATCCGACCTGAGTAGATGGCGCCTTTTAACGACATCAACCTGTAGCTTGCAAACACGGTCTCAGATGTGTTTACATCTAAACCACCTTATAGACTTGTCAGTTTGCTCGGAGACCATTAATTACAATACAATTTTAAAGGGATTGGACGGAACAAATTAATTCAATCGTTCTTTCTTTTTTCGTCTTAAACAGCTTCCAGTTGATCGCCTTCTAAAGAAGGGCGCGAACTTGGCAACTGACCTTTACAACCCTAATCAGATGGAGAAAGATCGATAGGATCTTCCCTTCCCAAACGGTCCACATCGGCTACTCTACTGCAGAAACGTGACTCTACTTCTCCAGGCTCTGCGTCATGAAGACTATTTTCGGATCCCACCCCGAAAACAAACTGCTCGTATGTTTCTTTTTTTTCGATCGAGATCACCCACTCCCTACAATGACGAGTTGTCAGAATAAAAGGACCTACTACACAGCTGAAACATTTTATCTCGTGTGTTACAAGAAATGAAACTGTTCTTCTTGTCTTTACGGATTACGAGATATGTGTTGATGTCACTTATGAAAACTAAGTCATCTAGCAAAGTTTGGAACATTTTTTCAACTGAAGACGAATAATATGTAAAGTGACTAGTTAACCGATCATTCTCTCAACTTATATTCCCACTTTCTTGGTCTGTAGATAAATTGGTTCGGGGTTTTTCTTCCCCTTGTAAACTAGATTTACTCCACCAAAAGGCCTAGACCTGATCCGTTAAAGACGACGACAGATTAAGATAAAAACGAAACCTTTCACCTTTCCCGAACCTATGCAAGAGACCCGATCAAACGGGAATCACACACCCACCTACGATGATGGCGAAACACGCCCGACAAACCTAAAAGCGGGGATCGCAAAGGAGCAAACTACAGGTTCGCCTATCCAGCAGACCTCAAAATGATACCTCAGAACATTAACGCTGTCTCTTACCTGATCTGGTCCATCGAATCATAGTGTGATAATCAGAAGGCACGGGCAAAAGGCGTCTTTTCCAAATTCGCGGAAAGACGATCTTCGAACGGTGTGTAGGAGACGAGATTGGTCGGAGGCGGCAATTTTGTTTTCACTCCTTTGATCAAAAACCAACTTGTAGTTTATTTCCCAGTTTTTACTGCAAAATCTCTGGTCAGTAATTAGTAGAGCCTTAGCTTTGTGTTTGTTGTCTTACCTAGATGGATCGTTTCTTAAGAGAAATTAAGGTTTCATCCTTTATTGTGGGAGCTTTTATATTGAGCTTCTTCTTTGTGTAAGAGGTATGTAATAGACAGTGTCACGAGCGGGATTCGAACCCACGACCTTCGGCTAAATACGCCGCTGCTCTACCATTTGAGCTATCGTGACCTCGATCCACTCGGACATCAACTTCCTATCTCATCCCCACCTTTTGAATTTTCCCTCCTTTTTGCCATTTTTTATCTCAACCAATACCTTTCATAAAGATCAATTAATTTAAAAAAGTTAATTGGTCAATCGGACCACGAACTGTAGTAGGTATGTAATAGGTTTTCTTAAAGTTTATATTAAACCCTTTTCCTCTCCATTCTCTCATACGGTCTCTCTCTGCATATTTTTACAATTCAATTTTTGCATGTAGTTTGACAGTGTCCTCAAATTTCCCTTTTATGATTGTTACCAGGTCATCTGCGTAGGAATTGTGTGTCTTCCACAGAAACCTTTATTTATATTGTCAGAACTGAAAATAATGGGGTCCAAAAAACAACAGTCCTTTTCTTTCTTGACATTGATTGTTGGCATGTCGATTTTGAGTCGATTGAAGCCTAATGATTTATTTTAGGTATCCACATAAAACAAAACTTCTTGACATTTCATTTATAATTTGAACGTTTACATAATTCCTTAATTTCACCGAATTAGCAGATAGGATGAAATTTTAATGACCATCGTTGACGTACATCGTGATCTAGTGGCATCATAAGTGTTCGGCAATATGCCAAGCTTTGTTATTCAAATAAAGACTACAGTTTATTCTTTATTGGTTTAGTTTGTAACTAGTGTTTTGTTCATCCTATGTAAAATACGAATAAAATAACACTTTAATGTGATTGATTGTTGTCCAACTAACTTAGCACCATCTAGACTCGGGAAAGTCGGATACTCTCAGGAAGGTCAACTGCAAAAGATTTTTATCGTTAAAAACGTTTCACGTCATTGGTCTTGAATAACCCGGTTTTTATCTTTATAAACGTCCCAAACGTTTCTCTTTGTAGGAAGGGTAGATGTTTTA